AGTCAAATACTACAGATTCTTTCATAAATTCCTTATATTGGGAATTTTGTGGAAAATCTGATCATGACAAGGAGATTGCCAGAGAAGAATTTTTCAAGCTAAAGTGTTGCTCATACAATCCAAAAGATCTTGAAAGACACTTCAGAAATGCTGCACAACGGTATTATCTTATTGGTGGCATGGATGATACCAATAACAAGCAAGCCTATCTGGAATCAATTCCTCAACCTCTTGGTCAAGAAACGTTGAGAACAATGGAAATGAAAGGACAACCTTTGAATGCTACATCTTTTGATGAACTCCATAATTGGATCATGAGGACGTTAAAGAAGCTTTGCAATCAAAATGCTTTCCTCAAAGATATTAATGTCACAGGAAAGAAATTGGAGAAAGCTTGTGATAAGCCTTATTTGCAGATCAAATGCAGTTGTTCTATGAAAGATTGTGATTGCAGAGGAAAGAAAAAATTCCATAAAAGGAGAATGAAATTTTCTCGCAAGGAAGCTCCTCTTATCCTTTTCGGAAAAAGAAAAGATTTTTTAGGCTCAAATTCTCAAAGAAAAAAGGAAACAGATGTTTTATCTGTGGAAAGAAAGGTCACTTTGCAAAAGTCTGTCCTAACAAAAAGAAGGAGAAAATTCTTCACCAAATTTTCACAACTACAAAGATTGACTATGGTGATGATGACATTTAAAGAACCATCTCCTCGTGCTCAAGAGGGTGCTAGCTCTTCTTTAGTTTATTGCTTTATTGTTGCACTTTCTTCCTTTGCTAGAATGGTTTTAACTAGCATAAGGAAAAGCAATATAGCTCATGCTTTGGTTAGATTCTCTGTAATGCACATTTCTAATTCAGAATGTCTTGGAGAATCTCCAAGTTTTATTTTCGAGCCTGTTTTGATTGATTATAAAATCTAGTTTTCGTTGCCTTCAAACACAAAAAAGGAATAGATGGTTACATTGATTCAATAATTGAAACATGTTACATTAGGCATGAGGAGAGAGTGGTAATTATACTCTATCATGAGAATGAAGCCCGACATGATGATTGTTCAAACATGTTCATGAGTTCTTTGATGATATGCTCGTCTCATAAAGCCATGTATGCTTTGAATTATTTAGCTAAGAGTGAGATAGTTGGACATTAAGATCAAGATCAATCAAGTTGTTCAATCAGGTCGATATCACATTAACTTATGCCATATTACATCTTACACGTGTCATCAAACAACATTACATTTAAAACTACCTCAAGATATATGTAACTCTATGTGCGAACTAAGAAGGTATCGGTTGAGATTGAGTGCCTCATTAGCTAGAGGCACACAAATAATGACTTACGAGCAAGAACAATTGCCAAAAAAGAATGTCCACAACCAGGGGTGGACCGAGGCCATTTTTCATGTGGGGGCAAAAAATGAGAATTCAAAAATGTTTAGGTAAAAAAAATAAATAATAACTCGAGGAAAACTCAAAAAAAAATTTGTGGGGTCATTTGACCCCACATGATCCCATGTGGGTCGGCCCCTGTCCACAATTGACACATTATCGAAAAAAGCTGGTATAAAAAGATATATTTTTAAGAATCTTCGTGTATTGCTCAATATGGATCACACCATCAATCTATCACCTCTTAACATAACGCAAATCTTGCCTCTCAAGGTTGCCTATATAGTACATGTATTATTTTATTTTACTGATAATTATTTACGCACATCTTCTCGTTCATCATATGTGAGTTTTGAATCATATCCTTGTCTTGTCTTGAATGTTACAATGGTCCAAGAAAAGGTATATACACTCCTTCACATCATCTGATAAACTAAAAAATCCACTCGAAAATGCCAAACTTGTTAAATATCATGCGCGCTCCTTACTTATAAGGCAAATGAGCATTGCATAATGATTTTCATTATCCTAATATAGAAGACCACACTCTTAACCCACCACTTACATTTTTCAAATTCCCCCGTTCGTTCTTAAATGTCACAATAACTGTAATAATTAATTTAAATCACATATTTTAAAGAATTCATAACTCTTCAATCATATATTTTATTAATTTTTAACAAAATCTATTAAAAATATAATTTTAATTCCCACTAAATAATCCAATATCTCTTCAAATATCAGTATTTACTCAACTCTTTTCTTAAATGCACCTAATATGATATTTCATCGTTTTGAACCACCACCCACCCCCGCTGGGCCCCACAACCCCAAAACAACACACATCAAAAAAAGAACTGATGAGAAAATGTCTGTCTTCCTTCTCCTTATGCATCAACCTGTGTGAACGGTGAACCCGTCTTTGAGACCAACTTGGTGAACTTACACAATTACCCTCCAAGAATTCTAATTTCTCTACAATATTAACGTTAAAGTCCTACAAAAAAGTAGGATAAATGTGTCAAAATTGCAAAAAGTATATGTCGTTGTTGTGTTATTAATTCTCAATTACTCTGCTGTCCAACATTTTGCTCTATACCTGTTGTCCTCTTCTCTGTCTTTGAAGGTCTGATTTTCTCCCAAAATTAGAGAGCCCCCTCTGATTTTGCTATCATAAATCATTTTAATCAAAACGCACAAATTCCTTTAATTTTCTTATGTTCAGAGTCTCCATTTAAGAGTTCATCAATAAAAAAAAATCCAGGTCAAAATCAAGACTTTTCCCAAGGAAGTTTCTTTGTAAGTCGGTAGGTGTGTTACAGGTTTGGTGAGGGAAAAAAAATCATTCTTCAGAAACTCTCAAGAAACTAATATATATTTTATGTGTTTATTCATTCTCTTTTCTTCCATTATTCGATCCCGACTTTCTATAAAAACACATGTACATATAGTCATTTTTGAAATGATTCGGACACCATCAAAAGATTGAACTTTTCTTAACAAAAGCTCGCTGAATTTTCTGTTTTTGACACACAAAAACACATTCATATACGTGTATCTATGTGTATGTATATGATGAAATGAAGCTATGGTTTCTCGGATTTTGATTACAGGGTTACAGTGGGCGATTATGGTGTATGATAACTCATTGGGATTCACGTTGCTGTGAAAGAAGCTGACACTCTGCAACTTTTCTGGGTTTTTTTGGAAGGTAACTGTAATTTTTCTTGGTAGTAAAAATCAACGGTGATTACTTACAAAAGTCAAATGTTTGATACAGAGGATCATGCTGATTTTGGTAAAAATTGGACTTTTATCTGTATATCAAAATTTTATCACCTGTAGAATTCGCTACATTTGTTAACGTGTGACCTTTTTATTTTTTTGTGCCACGTGAGGTCCGTGTGTCCAAGAATGTCTTCATGTGCTTTTGTCACATAAGTGAATGTGGGGTCCACGAGGGTTTTTTTTTTCCATCAGTTGATTATATTGTATATTAAGTAGATATTTGTGTACCCTTGATGTGAACTCAAGATCATGAATCATGAGGAATGTATTTCTTTTTCTATAGTGTTCCATATCGATTCTTGCATTGGAATAATTGGTGACAGATAAATGATCGTGTGAGTTAGATGCGCGGTTTGTTTTATGTGATCGTTTGAACATATCTTCGTTTGACAATTGTGCTTTTGCTCATTGATGATACGGGCATACGATCACTTAAGTGTTGTGTAGTGTCTTAATTGCATCCGTACGGTTGTGCGTTCCACTTGTGTTTGCTTGACTCGTACATGGTTCTCATTCGACATGCTGCTAAACCATTTCAACGACACAACTTCATTTATTGGCCATAAAAGGTAGTCATTGAATGCTTATTCCGTATCTTGTTTAGAATTTCCTATATGAGCATTGAGCCTTGTAGGATATTTCATTATGTTTCAATATCTGTGGTGTGATCGACAAGTACTCAAAACGTGCACGTTGATTACGTTGTTGCATTGAATTTTTATTTTGCTCGATATCAATAAAATACCGGACAACTATTTCGTATAATTGCTGCCCCCATTACACATTTAATAGGTTCCGATCAAATATTTTTGATGGATTCGATTTTTTATAAAGTTTGGTCCCACGGGAGTTAACTTTTAGTATTATATGGTCACACCATGCTCATAATAGAATATTCAGAACTATAGTAACCGTGCTTTTAAAAAGTTGTTACTTTCTCCAATTATACAGTTCTTGGCTTTATTAATATCCTTCACACAATCACCAATGGTGCAATTAGTCATCTTTTTTGCAGATTACATGGAATTGCAAGTATACCAGAGGGAATTTTAGATACGTGTTTTCAGTGCGTCCTGGTACCCAATATTCTCCACCAGTTAAACTCAACTTTTCTCAGGCTTAAAAGGCAAAACAAAAAGATGTTCCATATACCTTTATAGTTGCTTCGATCTACGAGTTAAAAGCGTTTGCTTTTCCTTTTTACTGAGATATGCTTATCATTATACATTGCTGTTGTGTGCATAATCATCATTATTTGTAAATATTCTGTTCTTTCTCTCTCTGTTCATCCGTTTTGCTATTATTACCTAAACGTTTGAAGCTCCATTTGTTGCAGAGCAATCTCAACATTTACGATTTTCTTGCTTCAGATGGTTTCAGTTGAGCGATCCGCAGTTACCCCGAGTAAAAGTAGGTGGGTACGCACTTTCTCTAAAATTTTGCACATTGGAGATGTGACGGCGAAAAGTTCTGTTGATCAAATCCAAAAGACTACAATCGATGAGAAGATATCTAATGATCCGAATAAAAGTACCCAACTTCCCTTCGGTGATAAGGACGAGGAGATTCGAGATAGGGCAGTGAAAGAAGCTTTTCTTTCCAAACTTTTTGCTAGCCTATCTACTGTTAAAGCCGCATATGCCCAGTTGCAGTTTGCGCAATCTCCTTATGATGCTGATGGGATTCAATCTGCAGATCAGATTATAGTTTCCGAGCTAAAGAATTTGTCTGAACTGAAGCAGTGTTACATGAAGAATCAATTGGATGATACATCTCCAGAGGCTACTCAGATGTTGGCTGAAAATCAGGAGCGGAAGAGTCTGCTGAGAACTTATGAAATTATGAGTAAGAAATTGGATTGTCAGCTTAAACTTAAAGACTCTGAAATAACCTTTCTTAAAGAGAAACTAGCAGAAGCTAACAGGGATAACAAGTCACTCGAGATGAGATTAAATTCAAGTGAGCAGTTAGCTGTGCCTGACAATATTCGTTTGTCCGGGTTGAGCCCCTGCCATTTTATTGCATATCTAGGGCAGTCAATAAAATCAGTTCGGAGTTTTGTGCGATTGCTAATTAGAGAGATGGAATCTGCGGGGTGGGATTTGGATGCTGCAGTGAGTTCGATTGAACCTGGTGTTTTTTTCTGGAAACCAAACCACAAATGTTTTGCATTTGAATCCTTTGTTTGCAAAGAAATGTTTGATGGTTTTAATTACCCAAATTTCTCCATCGAACAAGAGTCCTTGCCTGAGCAGAAAAAACGACGACAGCTTTTCTTTGATAAATTCATGGAGTTGAAATCTGTAAGACCAGCCGATTACTTAGCATGGAAGCCTAAATCTACATTTGCGACGTTTTGTCGTACTAAATACTTGCGACTTGTTCATCCAAAGATGGAAACATCTCTTTCTGGCAATTTGGATCAGCGGAAATCAGTGAATTCAGGCGAATATCTGGAAGCACCCTTCTTCCTGTCATTTGCAGCGATGGCAAAGCACATATGGCTCCTACACTGCCTAGCCTTTTCTTTTGATCCCGAAGTCTCAATCTTTCAAGTGACCAAGAAGAGTCATTTTTCTGAAGTTTATATGGAGAGCTTAAGCGATGAGGCTTTCTTTTCATCGGATGGCACACTGGAAAACAACCCTCTTGTGGCTTTCACAGTGGTTCCAGGATTCAGGATTGGGAAGACTGTTATTCAATGTCAGGTGTATCTTCAATCATGAATTCCTAACTGCTCTCAGCTGCAATTAGGATGTTTGATAAGGCAGATTTGACAGTACTGGATATCATTAAAGAGGAAAATGACGTTAAAATCTTGTTAATTGTACTTCGCAATCTTGTTCAGTACTGTTTACCAAACATGAGCTATATAAACGTTTGGTAAAAGTATTAGATGGTACAATAAGCAAAATCTTAACTTTCTTTTCTTATGTAATGCATTCTAGTATGTCTAATCCACCTTAAAACATGCCATAAGTGAGATAATTAGGCTTAACATCTGATCCGACAACATCATGGACTGAAATCTTTTTCTCCTTAATCATTCATGGAGAATGATAGCCATAACTTGTCCCTGGTATGGACTTTTTTGTCAGTTTTTCCTTTTGGAAAGGAAGGTGGAAAGACTATTGCAAAATCAAACTAAGGACATTACTTTGCATCATGCCTTTTTAGAATTGCCCATTTTTGTTAATGGCTGGCTTTTCTTGATGGATAGTATAGCTGTATACTGTAGAACTTCTTTATATTAGTATTGTTTTTTTATCTGCAAATATAGCATAAATGATACATATTCCTTTTTAATAACTATCTGTATATATGATGCACATCAGAGCTTTTTTCTCTTCTAAAGTAAGGCATATTTCTTCAAACTTTCAGATTTGAAAAATATACAGTTTGTTTGAAGAAGAAAAAAAGGAAATGGATTCTCCCTATATCTAAACAATTTGAACCTCCATAATCGGAGTTAACAAGGATGTCTGTTCCTTACCAAGAAAGTAGAAGTAAAACATCATTTAGGTCCTCAATGCGATTGTCAATTACATCAAGAACTTGACTCTCGTCGTCTTCTTCTTCTTCGTTTTTTTTTTTTTTTGGGGTCAGTTCATCCATCGCTCTCTCGCTTTCTACCAAGTTTGAATTATTTCGCCCACAAACAATTTCTTGTATTATTATTTTGTAACTGTTGACATCGACTTCATTGATACGTTTCTTCCAGCAATCAATTCAGCTTCTATGTATCCTGGTGTTCCCTTTGGCATAGTGTGCATTTTGCTTTGATCACACTTGATCCATTTTCCTAACCCTAAATTTGTTGGGTTATTTCTTATGAGGAGAAAAGTCTATGCTTGGGGTCTTATATTATAGCCCAAATCCCATAAGGATGATGAATATAAATACAAGAAGCTTAGAGAAAATATGAGTCCAACCCATTTTTAAAAAGAGAGAAAAAACAGTTTTATTCTCTGCTTGATTAGAGAAGACTTTGTTAGAGAAGACTTCGTGTACCCATTATTTGATTGGCAGTGGAGGTTTTGACTTGATTGGGTCCCGCGGTTTTTATTCCTCATAATGGGGGAGTTTTTTCACGTAAAATAATTGCTTGTGTTCTTGTGGTTCGGTGTGATTGATTTCTTTAGAATATTTTCAGCATATAGAATTGTCAGGAAAGGCATTTCACTTATTTGCTTTTGGGAGAAAAATTATTCTGTTATGTGTCTATTTGTTTACATCTCTCCTTACAAGTGGTATCAATGACATATTCTAATATTTGGGTTTTGGATAATGGAAGTGAATTTGAGTAAAATGATTAACTTGAATGGTTTAAATTCACATATGGAAAGGAAAATTTGAAGATCTTTATGTGAAAGAGTATTACATATAGGTGCTTGTAGCTAAAAAATCAAATAACAAGTAAGATAAAGAATGGAGCTTGTTGTATCGACAAGTTTGTGGGTCACTACGTAGATTATAATGTTTTGAGCCATGTTAGTAGGGAAACACATGCTTGTACTCTATGGAGTAAGCTTCAACATTTATATGCTAAAAAGATCGAAAATAATAAGATGTTTCTGATTAAATAGAGGATGATGCTGAGATACTATGATGGAACTCCTTTAATTGATCATCTGAATACATTCTAAGGAATCATTAATCAATTGGCTGGAATGGGTATTAAGTTTGACGATGAGATTTAGGAGTTATAGTTTCTTGGTTCATTACTGGATTCGTGGTCATCACAATGAATCTGACCAAGAGTACTTTGTTAAACGAAGAGATGAGAAAGAAATTACAGGCAAATGCCTTGGTTATAGAAAAGAGGGGATTAGTAAGAGCAAATGTCCGAAGTATATAGATATAAGTAGATGGAAGTTGAATAAGTTTGTGAATGTCGAGTGTTAACATTGTGGGAAAAATGGACATCAAAAAACATTGCAGGCAATGGAAGAAAGAAAATAAGAATGAAGCGAAGAAAGAGGATGAATAAGTTTGTGAATGTCGAGTGTTAACATCTGAATGTAGACTCACTGTTTGTTTGAGAAGTAGAATAGAGTCTCTTTCAAGAATTTCCTTCCTTCGAGAAAGTCAGAAATATTAGATTTGGTACATTTAGATTTGTGTGGTCTTATGAAGACGAGAACATTTGGCAGTTCCAGTTAATTTATAACCTTTATAGAGATCATTCAAGGAAATTATGGGTTTATGCCTTGAAAACAAAATACCAAGTGTTGACTGTGTTTAGGCAATTCCAGGCCCTAGTTGAGAGATAGACTGAGAAGAAGTTGAGGTGCATCAGAATAGATAATGGGGATGAGTATTCTGATCCTTTTGATGAGTATTGTAGATAGCAGAGAATTCGACATAAAAAGACAACTTCAAAAACTCCTCAACTGAATGGCATAGCTGAAAGGATGAACAGAACACTGGTTGAAAGAGTGGGATGTTTACTTTCTCAAGCTCAGTTGCAAAGATTCTTTTAGGGTGAGGCTGAGCATGGTCATACATGTGTTGAATTTTACAGCTTGTGTTCCCTTACAGGATAATGTACCACACATAGTTTGGAATGGTAATAGTGTTTCTTATGATCACTTGCGCATGTTTAGGTGTAAATCATTTGTGCATGTTGCTAAATATGAGAGGTCCAAGTTTCACGTGAAAACACAACAATGTGTAGTTTTTGGTTATGGTCAAGATGAGTTTCAATACAAGCTTTATCCAATTGAGAAGAAAATTGTGAGAAACAGAGATATCTGTTTGTTGAAGATCAAACGATTCAAGCTATTGAGAAAGCAAAGAAATTCATACCTTAGAAGGGTCATAGTTTGATTGATTTAGATTGATTCCTATGAAGAATTTGCCAACTCAGGTTGATGATGGTGTTCAGGATGGCTAACAGGGTATAGGTAACATTGATGCTCCCCTGCAGGCTCTGGCATATGATAAGATTGATGAGCAGTTGATAGTGCCAAATATTATACCAGAAGTTCCATTAGAGGTTCTACTCAGGAGGTCTACTAGAGATCGACATCCTTCCACATGGTATTTAGTAGAGCAATATATGCTATTGATTGACAGGTAGAGCCCGAGAATTATGCAGAAGTCATGGAAGATGAACATAAGACAAAGTGGATTGAGGCAATACAAGATGAAATGCAATCATTGCATGATAACCACATTTTCGAGTCAGTGAAACTACCTACGGGTAAAAGAGCTTTGAAGAACAAGTGAATTTATAAGGTGAAGCAAAGTAAGTTCACTTTACAACCATGGTATAAATCTAAATTGGTTGTAAAATGGTTTGGTCAGAGAAAAGGAGTTGATTTTGATGAGATTTTCTCTCCAGTTGTTAAGATGCTATCTATTGGTATTGATCTCGGCCTAGGAGCTAGTCTTGACTTAGAAGTTGAACAGATGGATGTGAGAACTATCTTCCTTCATGGTGATTTAGAAGAGGAGATTTATATGGAGCAGCCAAAGGGTTTCAAAGTTAAAGAGAAAGAGGATTATGTGTACAAGTTGAAGAAAAGTTTTTATGGTCTGAAGCAAGTGCCGAGACAGCGATACAAGAAGTTTGAGTTTGTTATAGAGGAGCAAGGCTACAAGAAAACAACTTCTGATCACTATGTATTTGTTTAGAAATTCTCTGATGATGATTTTATCATTTTACTCTACGTTAATGATATGTTGATTGTTGGTAAAAATGCTTCAAGAATTAATAGGTTGAAAAAACAATTGAGTTAGTCTTTTGCTATGAAGGACTTCTGACAAGCAAAGATACTTGGCATAAGAATCAGTTGTGATAGGAGTGCCAAGAAGTTATACTTGTCACAGTAAGAGTACATTAAGAAAGTGATTGAGAGGTTCAATATGGACAATGCTAAAGTGGTTGGCTCTTCTTATGCTACCCACTTCAGATTGAGCATTGAGCAATGTTCTTCTACAGATAAGGAAAATGAAGATATGAAAAGAGTTTCTTATGCTTTAACAGTAGGAAATTTGATGTATGCGATGATTTGCACAAGACAAGATATAGCCCATGTAGTTGGTGTAGTTAGTCGTTTCTTATCATATCCAAGAAGAGAGCATTGTAATGCAGTTAAGTGGATCATGATGTATCTTCGAGGTATTTCCAATTTGAGACTTGGTTTTGGAAATGGACAACCATTGTTAGTTGGCTACACATATGCAGATATGGCAGGGGATATAGATACCCGCAAGTCTACATCGAGTTATTTAATTAGTTTTACAGGTGGAGTTGTAGCTTGGTAATCAAAACTTCAAAAGTGTACTGGCATTTCTATGACAGAGGTAGAGTTCATTGCAACAACAGAGGCAACTAAAGAGTTGCTACGGGCAAAGAAGTTCATGAGATAACATGATTTCAAGTAGCGGAGGTAGTGTTATTTTGTGATAGCCAGAGTGCTATTCACCTTGCTAGAAATTTCAGTTTCCATGCAAGATTGAAGAATATTGATGTACGATACCATTGGATCAATCATGCGTTAAATGAGAAGTTGCTGCAACTTGAAAAAGTTCATACCGATCATAAGAGTAATGTTATTTATATGATGATAAATCATCGGTGATGTGACAACCCATTATCTCTTACATTTCTCTTTCTCTCATATAAATTGAACTGTCCAATCTCATTATTCTACATAGGCTGCCACATCATTGATGATTTATCATCATGATGATAAATAATATTATTCTGATCATAATG